AGAAGTAATAAAAAATTTATAATTTAAAAATATTGTACTACCCGCATTACTTCGAGGCAATTGCCTAGCTTCTTATCAAATTGTCCGCTTTTTGGGAGTCAAACACTTAGTTTTAACTTATAAAGAAAATATTTTTTCTAGTCACTTTGCATGTGATCAATTTGGATTTCCTGATTAAAGTCTGGTTAGATTAGCAAGTTGTGACTGTATTTAATATAATTTTGCTTCGAAATATTTACATAAACAACAACTCTTTGTGTTTTTACTTAGGAACGAATTTCCCCCATTCGTCGTTCCAAATAAGATCACACCCTTACCCTAGTGGAGGCAGCAACGAGCAAAATGAAACGATTTTGCTTTCATCAATCCTCACCAAAGAAATCCTGCTCCTAAAAGAAATAAATTAAAATTAAAACCATCTTCCTTTACATAAAACTTCCGTAAAATTATACTCAAAATTATACATTCAGCTCCAAAATCATCTCTCTTTGAAGTTTCTTCTTCTATTTATCCACCGCCGACTGAAGCACAAAAAAGTGCTGGTATTTATGACAGTGTTTCTAATTAATCGGCCAATCTATTGAATATGCAAATAAAAACACTTCCTTAGGATCTCTTGCTTGCCAACCCAAAAAGATTACATAACTTTGAACGCCTGTGTGCATATATACATATGTATGTATGTGTGTATGTACGCGTGCTTGCAAATTTATAGGCATGTAAATTTTCGCCCAACTCAATGTTTGCAACACTTTAAAATTCAGTAATCAAATCGAGAGTACATATGTATATACACAGTTGAACTTCAAGTTCAAGCAACGACCTCACCTCTCATTCACCGGTTAGTCCACTCGTTGCAAACGAAAATTTTAAAGGTAGCAAGTTTTTTGAAGCGGAAATGGCACAAGGACAAGAGTAAAATGGTTGGATGTAGTATTACGACTTTTACTGTTGTTGGCAGGTGAACGAGTGTAAAGCATACAAATGAAAGCATAAAGGTGTGAAGAGTAAGAAAGAGGAGAATAAAATGAGAAAGAAGAATATGAGGAAGTTCGAAAACGTAGTTGTGTTGGTAGCAATGTAGTCACATTTGTGAATTTATGTTTATTTCAAGGCGACTGGCAACATGCGACCATCTAACTAATAACCAAGCCAAGGTGCAACACAGGCAATGGTTGTTAAAGTAATAACGGTAAAAATAAAATGGCAGAAAAAACACATGAGCTACAACAACACTATATAAGTGAGCTAAACAAATGTTGTTAAGGCCGTACAAATCGAAAACTCGCAGATTCAGCAGCAGCACTACTATTTAGTACTATGTATAAACGATGTTGACAATAAATCCCTTTTATGGCCAACGAATACACAAGAAGGTAGTAAATTATACTTTTCTCATTGCTTTTACACTTTTCAGCCGCTCAGCTGCCCTTTGACTACACGCTTTAGCACTTTGACACATTTTCGAAGGCCACTCACGTTTGCGTCAGTGTGTCGTGTTTGGCATAGCAAATTAGCGTTACAGGTAGACGAAAAAAAAAAATAAAAATTTGTTTGGAAAAAGATAAATTTACTTTGCATACTAAATGTAAGTCAGTTGTTTAGGACAAAGTTCTGAGGAGTTCAAATGTGCCTAGAGTGCATACTTATTTATGTATACCAAAAAAGGCATGCAGCAAGCTTGTCTCTTTAATATGTACATGCGCATAGAAAATTTTTTTTTTTTATTTACTAGCAAAAACAAATATTAATGAAATTGAAAATTACACCTTTTATTTTATAATAGAATTACATAAATTTTTTTAATCTTTTGGAGATTATGCCGTTTTATTAGTGAATGGCTGAGTGGTCAGTAGAGCATTCTACTTTGGTAAAGCACATTTCTTTTAGAACCACTTTTTTAATTTTTAATTAATAAATAGTTCAGTTACATAGTTTTTTTCACTACAAAAATGATAATATGTCTTGCTTGGACTAGGTGTCAGATTTTGAAAGGCTGAAGAATTTCATTTTTAGAATTAACAACAACTTCACATACGGTGGGAAAGAAACATGTAATAAAAAATTTTTGTTCTTCTGCAACACCGCCAACTAGCGTTTTAAAGTAATGATTAACATCTTGACTGTTGCTAAAGCCTACTTCCTTTTATAGTCTGGAAACCAGTTGGCCACAAGTACCACTCATTCAGCCTTAGTTGAGGACATTTTGGTGAATTGGCTTTTATAGGAACCATATTTAAATTATTCCTTTCAAAGCACACTAAGGCTGATGTTACGTGTTGATTATTGTCCTGAAAAATGAGAAAATACTGCTAAAATGTACCTTTCGTCATTCATTATGCAGCATATGAACTTCTGAAAGAAACAATTTTTTCATCATTTTTAATGGTTTTTTGCGGTATAATTCTCGGCAGATTTTTCCGGAACTTTTTTCACCTTTTCATTTTTGGCCCTGCTTTTTGGCTTAGCTCCAAGCAAAAATTATAGTTTTAGCCATAACGCCCACCTCCAATCAATCGCTATTCCGATTACCCTGTCATTTTCACGTTAAATAACTTTTTTAAAATTTTTTTAATTTAATTTTGATATTTCAGTGCAGCAATATATGAAAAAGTCTGCCACGTCCACATTTCTGTTAGTACAAAATACGCAGCACACAGGAAATAGATAAAATTCACATAAAAAAACATTTTTTCGATAAAATTTCTTAAAGCAATTTGCAGCTTTCAGAGACCAGTCAAAGTCTTAAGGGTAATACCCTACATCAGAGTTTTAAAAGGTGTTGCTAATTTTCTCAAAATGAAAAAAAAAATCAACGCACATGCTTTGTATGGAAGAAAATTACTGACATCGTCAACAAAAAAAAAATTATCAAAAATCAACGGTGAACCCCAGCTACTTTGAACTTTCACTCTATTGTACTAAAATTGAATGTGCTATAAAACTGCATACTAAGATATTTGCAAAAAATCTAATTAAAAGGCTCGAAATTTTTACGAAATTTTGTTGATTTTTTATTGTTTTTTAATGTTGCACAAAGATTAAAACTTGGATTTAAATGGTTTTTTTTTAAAGAATATACAATATTTTTATAAAAAATAGTTAAAATTAAAAAATATTACAATATACAATTTTATTGCAAAGTTAGAATTAACATAAGCAAGGAGTGTCAATACCCATACGGCTTCTAAGATAAGAAACAATTTTTTTTTTTTTTGAAATTGTTGATAGAGGGTACTATAATCCCTCGAAATGTTCGTATAATTACCCTTTCAAGAAAATCTTCAGCAGAGGCAAAGTACTTTTTCAAGCAACAGAAATTATGAAAAATATTGCTTATAAATTTTCATGAGAGCTGGAAACTAAGCTCAAAGCCATAATGTCACCATTGTAGAACTTCTATGATTTCTCCGGGCAAAAAAGTGTATGAAAATATTTTTCCCAGGCCTCACTTGAAGTTAACTTAATACAACTAAAGTAAGAGAGTTCTGCAGAGAATTAAACCTTTCAAATTTAAGGCTCTAAAATTTATCAACTGCTAAATATTTATCTTAACTGAGCAAATGAGTCCGCAGATACTTTCGATGAATGCAGACTGATCACATTTCTTAGGCTTTGTGGTACATTTTTGGTAGGACATTAGCATTTTGATCTCCTTACTTCGATTATCTAAAAATTTTCAAACTAGCACATTATGAAATTTAATTCATAAATGAGAATATATGCGTGTGGGCTAATTTTGACGGCGGGAGTGAATTTTTTTTAATCCTCTCGGAATTATGAAATATGATTCATCGCGGACTAAATAAACAAATTCTCATATAAAAATAATATCAATGTATAAAATGTTTTTCTGCTAAAAGTGTTCACCAATTTCATAAAATTTTTTTTATTACAAAAAAAAGAATTACTAATGTCATTACCTGTACCCACAAAGTTATTTTTTTTAATTTTTTGTCGCTGTTTTTCCTTCTTAAAAGTGTTCGTTCTAGCAAATATTTTCCCGAAAAAATATTTTTTCCCAATAAAATAATTTTTTGCCAAAAAAAAAATTCAATTTTTTTTTTAGTTTTTTTTCTTAAAAGTAGTTTTATCAAGAAATGCATCTAGATGCTCTAAGAATATTTCTGCATCTAAAAGAAAATTTTGAAAAAAACGTCGCTTACGTTATTTTGGCGGTTAGTGCCGATATTTTCCAAAACATTAATTTTCCGGCAATGACATAACGTTATTCCAAAAGATAAATAATTTTCACATATAAACGCAATTGTTTCCCTTCTGGGAAACATTATTTTGTTAGAACATTTGCTTCCAATGAAATATTTTTCCACAAAACTAAATATTTTCCATGCATAAGTGTATTTTTTTGGAAATACTAATTTTATACATAATTTTCTTAAAAAATATTTTTCCCAATATAATTTTTTTTTGTAAAAAAAATTAAAATAAAGCAACTTTCCGCCTAAAATGATTCGTTTTTTAAACATACTTCCCGAAACAAATAAATTGTACATGTTTGGTAATTTCTGTTTAACTGTTTTTGCCAAATTATGTTTTTACGAAAAAAGATGTTTTTTTCTCAAAAGAAAACTTCTAAAAACAAATTATTTTTTAACTCAAATTTTTCAAAAAAAAATCTTATGCTGACAAATGTTTCTAATTTTAATAAGAAAATTTATTTTCTAAACTTCTTGACAAAATTAGCTAAATAATCATAAGTCACATTCACTAAATATAAAATATGAACCTGCTATAAACTCACTCAATCTCCATTTCAATAAAATATTCTTTTGGAAAATGTGTTTTCCATAATCCTGAAAGGTTTAACTACATATGTAAAATATGATTTTCACGAACAAACAAACAAAAAGTAATAGAGAGCAAAAAAACACTAGCAAAAAATACCTTACTACGTGGATTCAATGGAAAATTTTCCTTGGTTGCTAACTGGCATGTGATTGCTCTGTTTGGCATTTAACGTGTCAAAAGAATAGATTTACCTGTAAATTTGGCGGGCAATGATCCAGCAGTTCAAGCATGTGTTTAATGTTTTGTGCATCTTGTATCACAAAATTTAGTTCCATATCAAATTCGCCACCGACGAGCTGTAAGAGAAAAAAAAGAGATAAACATCAAAAATGGATTCCAGAAAAAGTGCTTCATTGAAGTTTTTCGCTAATGTTAACTCTTAGTTTAAAAAAAAAAGAAGTTAGCAACTTGTAGCGAGCAAAAATTAAGTTTTTGCGCGCTTAAATGGCTGTAAATTTAGTTTTCGTTGAAAAAAAAATCAAGCTACACAGCAACAACTGAACCTCACCGACGCAGCAGTAGCAAATGAAATTAAATGTAGCAAGACGCGTGAGTGTACCGCCTAGTGGGGGATGGACGCCTGGGCGGTTGTGGTAACGCCTGCGTTCCGGCGGTGGCGTAAATGAAAAGCACACAAAAACTTTACGGACTTAATGAAGCGCATTGGAGAACACAGTCAAGCGCACATAAATCCTTTGCATAATCTGTTAGTATGCATGCGTATAATACACATGTGTGTGTGTGTGTGTTTCAGATCGATTATGGATTATGTATGTATGCACTCATGTGTATTATGGAGATTTTTATGAATAACCACAAATTGAATTGGATTAAAATTTGCTGCTGCAACCAACGCTCAGTGGATTTCATAGTTTTTATTTTCTGATTTATTTTTTTCCAGAATTCTTTCCTCCTCCCGTGGACCTATCCTATTGCTAAAAATAGAATATGAGCAAATTATACACAAACGGAAAAAAAACAATAATGTGCGAAAATATACATAGTAACCATGGTATGATACAAGCACGGCGACTGCCAGGGTAATGAACAGGAAAGGCGAGGAAAGAAATTGAAAAACTCACAAAACATTTTGCACATTTCATTATGTATGCATGATAGGAAACCACATGTAGTTACAACCACATGCGAGTTGGCGGAAGCTCAACAAAAAAAATACATCTTCACATACATAACCAATACACATGTATGTTTACAAACATATAAACAAAAGCACATATGTACATATATAGATGAGTGATATACCATGGTAAGCACGGAAAAAATGTAGCCTACGAAAACTTGCGTTTACAAGTAGTGGGTTGTTGCGTATACGCCCTGTTGGTCAGCCAACTTACAAATTATTCTATGTACATACATATATACATATGTATTTTTATTACGTACGTTAGTATGCGTGGTCATATTGAATTGCGCCTGATTTTCGCTTCGGATGGAATTATGTGCACATAAAAAATTTAATATTGGTAATGGTGCAGGCGCATGTTTAGCAAAGTTTGGTTTTCAACAAAATGTTTTCAGAATGCTTTTATGTACTTAGTGTTCCATTAAGCAATATATCTCGTTTAAATATTACACATAAAAAAATTATTTTTGGTTTTACGAAACGCAAAGTTAGCATATTTAAAAATAAATTAAATTTAATTCAATTTAATTTTATTAACAATATTAGAAACAGAATATAAAAAATAGTAATAAAATTAAGCGAATTGAAACAGAATAAAATTAGAGGCAGATAAAATAAAAATAAAAAATATTAAATAAAATTTAAAATAAAGTAAAATACATATACGTAAAATAAAATAAGATAAAATAAAATTATAAATAAGTAAGTTTAAATAACAAATATTATAAGAAATTTAATAAAATATATTAAAATAGAAAAAGCAATAGAATACATTTTGAATGGGCGAAAAATTTATAAAAATAAATAACAAAAAGTTTAATGAAATAAACAAAATTAAAAAAAAAAAAAAAATAAGTGAAGAAAAATATTTAAATATGATAAGATAAAATTAAAAAAATATAATACATAAATAGAATAAAGTAATTAACCAGCATTAAACACTTGAAGGTTTTCGGCTGCGAATCCGAACCTGCTCAATCAAAATTTGACGATAAAGGTGTAAAAGTTCGCTTGGTAAACTACGCATCTCACACTAAAGCTTACAAATTATACAATGCCAGCACAAAATCAATTGTCATAAAAAGGACTTTATATTTTACGAAAATAACTTTTGAAGCTCGTTCGCAGCTATGAATGAAGACCACGATTGTGAATATTGTAAGGAAGAAAACGTTTTGATCGGTATGAAAAAACAACCAAAATTCATGTTCGACGAAGTAAAAAATACACAGATAGAATCGCCAATCGTTGGCGGTGTAGAAGAGAGTGAAAGTGCTCGAAAACGGAAAAGAGGTAGGCCAAGAATACGCCGTGAAGGCAAACTCAGCAAGACATGTACGGAGTTGATTTGTGAACCAGCGGAGCATTTAAATATGGGTTTTGAAGATCCTTTTTCGGTTTCCGAAGCAATGAACGGTGATGATAGTGCCGAATTGAGAAATGTCATGCGGGCAGAATATGATTCTTTGATAAAAAAATAATGCATGGACGCCTGTAGACCGACCAACAAATAAAAACGTTATTGGAAGGAAATGAGTGTTTACTAAAAAAGTGTGGTACAGATGGTTCTATCGAGAAGTATGAAGCGCAGCTTGTAGCGCAAGGTTAATTGCAGCGACTGGGAGTCGATATTTACGACATATATGCGCCTGTTTCTAGATTCCGCATAATGTTTCTTTTCACTATATCAAATCCAATGACATTTATCGTGAGATAAGTCAAACCACGTAGTCAAATTTTACAAAACAACAGTATCTACATATAATACGCGAATGGATTTTTTGTGCTGATAAAAGATCTGTACCGATTGCCCGATTTTCAAAAATAAGATGTCAAATTAAAGCGTTAGGTCTGCAGATGTTCAAACTTATTTTAGTTTTTCGCAAAGAGTTGCCACCTGTTGAAAAATTAAATTCAAATTATTTAGTAATCAATGCCATCAAATCCGCACCGTTCGTTTGATTTTCCAAAATGAGGCGTCAAACTAAGAGCCTTGGACTGTAGACGTGCAATGAGGTTTTACTTTTTTGAAAAGAGTTGCCACCTTTAAGAAAATTATATTCAAGCTATTTAAAAAAAAAAAAAAATCAATTATTGAAACTGGGTATCAATCGAGATGGTTTTGAAAAGCTTTGTTTTTTAGCTGAACTATAGGAGGGTTGCCACCTGTTTAAAAAATCTTATTAGGGAAGAAAAATATGTATCACCATATCGGTGCCAAACGAAAGGGGTTTCAGAAAGTAGTCGTCTGAAAATATTTTGAAGAGAGTTGCCACCTGCTTGAAATATCGAATTTAGTTTACTTATACACAAGTTATACGAAATATGAAAATACGGATGTCTAACGAAGGAGTGTTAAGAAATCTTTAGTTTGAACGGTAAGAATATTATTGAGGTGTTGGAAGAGAGTTGCCACTTGTTTAAAAATGTTAAATTGAAATTATTTTATAAGCTAAATGAGTTATAAAAATATGGGTATCAATCTAAGCGGGTTTGAAAATTTTTTTAACTGTATTTAGCGTGGTTGCCACATGTTTGAAAATTAAAATTCCACTTAATTCGTCAGTTAATTAAAATATGTATCGCGGTGTCCGGCGAAGGAGAGTTAACAATGATTAAGCTTGAAAATACTTTTGAAGAGGGCTGCCCACCTGTTTGAAAGGTTTAACTCAATTAACTAATTCAGAAAGTATATGAAATATAAAAATACCGCAGAAAAACGAAAGAGTGTTCAGAAATCTTTAGTTAGAACATTTCGAATGTGTGAGAGTGGCCACGTGTTTAAAAAGTTACATTCAAATTATTCAGTAAGTTCGATTAAGTTTTAAAATATGGGTATAAATTTAAATGGATTTGACAGGGATTTAGTCCTGACCTTTACTTAGGAGGGTTGTCATTTGCTCGAATAATCAAATTCGAATTAGTCCATCAGTTTCTTGAAATACATGTGTATCACAATGTCAGACGAAAGATATTTAAGAAGATTTTAGTTTGAGAATACTTTTGAAAAGGTATTTCAAAAATGTGAGGTCAAATTAAAGACCTAAGCCTGTAGATGTATGATAACGGTTTAATGTTTTTAATTAAGAACTTTTTTCATCCGTATAGGGTGAGTTGAAATTCGATGAAAATAAAAACATGCACTATGCGAGACTGCTCTTCACTCAGAAACGGTTGAATGGTTTTGATGAAATATGGCTCTCGAAGCTATTATAACTTTGACTAACATTTGGAATACTTTTTAAGCTTTTGAAATGCAATTTAGGACGTTTTAACGCCATGCGGGTTCACTAGTATTCATTTATTTGTGCACCCTGCTAAATCAATTTCCTGTAAATTTTTGGACCATAACACTTGAATTATTATAAACGGCATTGATTAATAGTCCAATTGTGTATCGGTGACAAAAAGTTTTTAAACGACAAATTTATTTTATTATTTTTCACATTTTTTTCCGTAATAAAAACTGTGACAAGAATTTGTCAGTCATACAGAATAGTCATCAGTCTGTAAAGTATACATTCACGTCTAGTATAAATGCTAGCAGGTGTTAGCATAATTGACAGGCTTTAATTTTTGAGCACAGCCTAAAAAAAAGGCTAGTCAAACTCTTCTTTTGGCTTTTCATATGAAATTCTTTCAGCAAAAAAATTTAATAAAATCTGCATGTTGTATTTGTTGATAACCGACAACAGAAGCACTAATTGCAACTCGCCAAAGCCTTATTAACAGTTAAAGTACGCAGTAAGGACACATGAATGCTGGTAAGTGAAGACAGACACCAAACAATTACGCTTTAATTAAATAATATATGGTTTATTTTTTTTACGGTTTTGTATTTTACTTTTCCAGCGTCATTTGTTGATTTTCACAGATGTGTCTGTAATTTTAACTGATTATATGACATCTCATCAACCTTCTACTTGTTAAAGGATTTAAAATAATTATATTTCCATTTAACGTCTACATGCATACACATTTACACATTCATACATATATTTATATAGGCACATAAGGATGTACATATATACTTGTAATATTCGTTTGCTTATTAAACGCATTTGTGTTTGTACATAAATATGTGACTATGTGCATTTCACCTGTTATTAAGTAATAATTACATATGCATGCATGTATGTATAAATATTTGTA